CTAACCAGTCAAGCAGCAGCTTCGGCAAATTCCGAATCCGTATTCAGTCCAAGATCCTCCTTCATCTTTCGCCATCTGTCAATCTGTATAATATAAATTCTCGCCTGTCCTCTTTTCTGGTCTGACTCCTTCCTCTTACGCTTTCAGTCACTTTCTGTAAGGTAACTTTTAGGTCCTCGTCGTTTTTTCGTATTTGCGTCCGCCATATTGCTTCTTTCTAGACTTATACGCATGCGCGGCATCAGGGTTACGAGCAATAATGTATGAATTAGATCAAGATCGCACTGTTTACATTCTTTACTTTTTAGATATCAATAAAAATGGTTGCAGTGACTATTAATTTTAGTAATTAACAGAAAGTCTTAGTTTTGTAACATAATATTGGAAAATAGAACGCTTTATATCGTTTTCTCGTAGTGTTTTTTAACATTAACTTCAATCTTATTTTATGAAATCACCACATTTAGAATTGTTTTACTGTGGCAAAAATCATGTAGCAATAGGTCAAAGCAGAGACGTATATATCCCACGTGATATATAGTCTCTGGTCAAAGTCTGTGCGAGAAATAAAGATTTTCGTTCATCAGAATCATTCTTTTGCAGTGTTGAAAAAATGCATGGAAGGTTTTACTGTCGGAGCTTTGACACATTGATGAATTCAACTAACAAAACATTAGTATTTTCAATATGTGCTGTACTTACATACATAGACCTAAATGCTGCCAGTACCTCTTCAAAGGACTTGTAATAAACGATTATCATTACAACAGGATTTTTATAGTTAAATAACACCAAATTAACACAATTGTCTAAATTAGAAGGATGATATTTCTTGTTTACGGCGGTACATTTATCTTGTATTATTATTATAAAGATTGTACCAAAGACAGACATGTAAATTTCATCTTTCAATTTAAACTTTGAATTAAAGTGACGTCATGGTAAAACGATTTTTATACGTTTTCTTAATCATTGTATTTATACATGAAGTGTATCGCCTTATGAACAATGACAGTTGGTTTTCGCTGAAATATGCACATAAAGAGCTTAAGGAAATCCTCATCTGTTGACAGTCTGGATATGTGGATTATAAGTTTTCTGTGTCAGATATTTTAACGCATGCGCACAAAACGCCATCGCTTGTTAACAAAAATGGCTTCCAGCCTGAATCGGTCAAGACATTGTTGGTGATTAATGCCACATTTCGTAACCCTGAATTGAATTTGAGTTATCAAATACCATTTGACACAACCATTAAAAAATTCGGTGATGAAGAAGGAAAGTTTAACTATTATGTCACTTCTGTCGCTGTCATTTCTGCCCGCCATCACGTGTTCGTGTTTACAAAATGAACTGCCTCGTTTTCAAAACTATTACGAAAATGTTATCAGCGATAAATTTGAGAGTGGCCTCCTTAAACAAAAAGGTGGGCAAGTTGGACATTGGGAATCGACTGTAAATAGTGGGGAAGCATGGACACGTAAATAAAAGTATTTCAAATATACGTTCAATAAGTAACAATATTAATGTTTCCCCGTGATGTCCCTTTCAGAACAGAAGAGCCTGATAACAAAGAATTGGACTTTATCATCAAGCTGTTTTGTCCTTCTAGGACTCAACAGTGATGCTGAGGGCCTGAACACATTAACCTAGGGGGCGACTGAGGAAAATCAGTCAAAACATAAAACACCAGCCCCATAACTCAATAAATTTCATTGTTTGTATATCATAAATAATATGAGATGAACGTCCGGTATAGATGTTCAATATGAAGGCTAAATACTCGTAATGTTACCTAGATTAAGGAACACACAACCAAATGTTGTCAAGTTCAAAGGTCACGAATATTAATTCTGTGATTTGCGGTGATAATTAATGTAAAACTTTAGTTGAAATCCACCGATGACTTCCAGAATTATATTCAAGAACAATACCTTAACAACCAGAAAACAAGTCAACAAGAGGAAAAATTCTTCAAAAACGTCATACAAATCGTGCTATTTTAGTCTCCTAGCACAGCTACAGATCACAACTTTCGATCAAAGGAGTGCATCCTTAAGGTTTGTGCAAAAGGCTTTGTGTTTTGTCCCCCGGCCGAATCATATCAGAGTCAATAACATGAGTGCCTTATCTCTCAACTGTTTTTGATTGACCAAAATAGCATAACAAAATAACTAGTCTTGGACAAAAGCATTACACTTCTACAGAAGAATTTTGCAAACAACATCGACTTAGTTCAGAGATGAACTCTGATAAAGATATAGATTGATGAAAATTATGGGCAAGTTTTACTGTCGTCATAGCGATCTCTTTGAGAGATATTCTGTTTCTTGATGCGATATGAAGCTGGACGTGTTTGGTGCTCCTTAGTCTTTTTGTTGGTTCCGTTGTTGCAGTTGTTGGATCGCACAACGTTACATAATGTGCAATGTGCGCACGATGTCTGCACGATAGATATATATATATTTCTATATTTAAATATACGAGATTTTATGAACTTATCCCGAAAATTTGATTATTGCTCGTCACGGTTCATAAAACTGAAAACAATCTTAAGACAAGTTCGATTTATTACATATGAAATATAAGATAAATTAATATCATATATATTACTTTGTCATACAGTATAAGGATTTTATCTAGTTCTGCATGCAGTTCACCACAGTAGCGCTATGGTTATAACTTACCCTGCATGTCATTATGCTGACACGTTGCTATCTGAGGCCTTTGGGATGTAATGTGTATATCAGCAATATGTTGCTTCTACGCGCATATGTTACCAAGTGTTAACAGATGAGTTTCCGCGGATTTCTTGCTGTCACAAAACAAGAACATATATCATATGTAGCCTCTCTAATGGGTGTACTAATTACAAAACACAGGAAATGCAAGTGGATTGTTACTGATATACTGTACTGCTAACCCCAGTAATCCAGTTATGTTTATATATATTTATATGTAGGTCAGTTGAATACCTATTGTTCTAAACGTTGCCATAGATAATCAGTTTCAGAAATCACATTTTCCCCAAAGTATGATTATCACTGCAATGTAAAGCGTATAGCGTACACGTAACTATTCCATAAAATGCAATCAATGACGTTTTACGGAGATATTATAAGAAAAGAATAAAAGAGAAAACAGGAACCTGTTTTTAACAAACAACCTTCTTGTCGATAAATTAATGCAATACAACCACACCAAGTTATCACATTAAGCCTTTTGACTGCAACGGCTAATGTAATAAAAAGGAAGTTCATTACATTACATGAAGAGGTCCAATGGGCCTGCAGCGCTCGCCAGTCAAATATGCATCTATGCCTCTGACCTCTGTGACCTTAAATACAAGTCAAGGCCTTTTTTTTCGCAAACTTTGTAGGGCTTCATCCTAGAAGCATACCAGTCAAATATCAAAACATTTGGTCTATTGGATATTTAGAAGAATTTGTTTAAAGGAAACGACGGACGAGGCACCACGGCATGAGCTCACTTGGCCCTTCAGCCAGGTGAGCTGATAAGTACATTAAGCATTGTTATTACAATAAAAGTTGTTACGTCTGTCACTGTAATAATCGAGTCATCGTATCAGATTAATTTCCATAACGAACATTTCTTGAAAGTCACGTTTGACTAACTATGCCCTCCATTTTCATTTTCCTGACATCCTTGACTTGCTTGAGGGCTAAGATTTTTAGGGCCAGGTGAGCGGTAGGAACACTATGGCGTCCGCCGTTCGTCAACTTATATTATTCAATACTAGTCATGAACTATTTAGCAGAGTTTAGCCAAATTTGGAGTATCCTTGGGGAAAGTAGAAGTAATTTTGCACCAACGACTGATCTTTTCTGAGGTGCGAGGCCAAATGGGGATAATCTATCAATTTCTCCTAAAACTCGTTCTGCAAAAATTATATGATATTGTCAAAATTTGATCAGAAGCTTTGCTTTGTATAAACGGATTGTCTTATCCAGCTGGTGTCAAAAGTAAAAAAAAACTTTAACCAAATTTAGTCTGGAGCATCCTTGGGGGAAGGGAAAACTGTATAAACGGTTGATCTAAACGCCTTGTGCTAGAGGGAGGGTGCCAAAAAAGGAACGGCAGGATATTGTTTAAATATGGGTTTACGGATGCTTGAATAAAGGAAACCTGTTTTATATGAATTGTGGGTCTTGAACCTGAAAAGGCTGAGTCAAATAAGGGAAACAGAGCGAATCCTTTAAATAGTATTCCTCAAGCAGGAAGGATTCGATTTTTCCCTTATTTGCTCTGATGCATTATAGGGTGTATAAAGTTGGATCTAGGCTCCCTGGTGCGGTTGTCCAATGTTTAGATTTTTCCTGGGACAGGAGAGGAGAGGTCCAATAAGGAAATAGAGCAAATTTTTCAGAATCCTTCTTCTGTGGAAATACCAGGGTGTTAGCCGAATGCTTCGATGAAGGGGAATGATTATGTATAAACGGTGAGTGTTAACCCTCAGGGATTGGAAGGCCGGTAGAAATGCGTAGATGTTGTCCCAATTAGGTCTGAGACATACTTTGGTGAAACGGATAAATTTCGAATGAACGGTGGGTTCCGGCCCTCAGGGGTTGGCAGGGCGATGCTCAATAATGGATATGGAGTAAATTATCTAAAATTCTTCTTCCGTTGGAATGACTCAAATTTACCGATTCTATCTGGAGCATCTTGGTGAAGGCTCTCCTCCTTTCTTTATGATTCGACAGATAAAACAGGACACATTCCTCGTGAAAAAAAAGACAGATCGCAGAAGATTGCACAAGAAATCGATAAAGGAACGAAATATAGAAATGCAGATTCCTTCGTTGCTCTTTTAATTTTTAAACATTTTTTTTCGACAGGAATTCTGCAAATCGTTGATGAGCATATTTTGTTTCCTTCTTTTTTAACGTCGCACTTTCGTATATATAGAGATCCGTCTATCCGTTTTATAATCATGTACATACACATAACGATATATCTATATCCTTGCAGCTGACAGTGTGATGGAGGAAGGGCAAGAACTAGAAGACAGCGATAAAACAAGCAGGGACACATGGTCGAAGAAGTCGGACTTCATTATGTCATGTGTGGGATGCGCAGTAGGACTCGGCAACATTTGGAGATTTCCCTATCTTTGCTACAAAAATGGAGGAGGTGAGATTATGTTTTCTTATCAAACAAAACTTTGTTAAAGTAATACCACTCATATTACCATATTAATTCACCAAGAAAAAACAGGTCATACGGGGGAAAAAAAGGGGGGGGATTACATATATTCATTCACAAAAAGGGACACTAACACGAATACCTGGCTTCGAACCGCTATTTTACTTCCGGGTCGTGGTATCCGGATGTAGTGAAAAATGAAATTTCAGGTCAGTTAGTAATTATCTACTATTTACTTAAACATAACAGATATGAACATATTTATTACTCAGGATTGTTGTACAATATTTTTTGTAATAGAGGAATTATATTTTAACATCATTTTCGAGTTTGTTTGTGTGGCAGGACACATGGTGTGATGAGGTTCGAGTACCGATATTTTGCAATTTTAGGCGACTGCCTATAATTTTGAGGGGTACGGATATTTGGACAAAAATATCTTTTATAATTGCAGCCCATGAACAAATCTCTCGTTTTCATGTAGTAAAGTACCCACTTAGATTGATCAAGATTTACATGGTACATGTCGCTGAATCAAAGCAAAAGACGCTTTCCTTTCCAGGTTACTTGGTCGCATTGTCTTTGTTCGTACTTTTCAACTATCGTTTCAATGATATTGAGTATAAATTGTGATTCTGTTGATATGTTGATACTTTAGAAGTAGAATGACAATTATTACATATGTAGACTTTGTTCCTTCTTTTCTATGACACTTCCATGAAATGAAATAAAAAAACAACCCTTTTTTACTAAATATTCATGTTGATATGTTATATCACAAATGAAATGTCTGCTGCATGTGATGGAACACGCAGTGTCTACCTGATGTAGGTTATAATGATACATATGTTTGTATATATTGTATGTTTACTAATTCTTATATATGACGTATTTAATTATAGGTGCCTTCCTCATACCGTATTTGACGTTCCTCGTGCTTGGAGGCGTGCCGTTGTTCATGCTGGAAATAGGACTTGGCCAGTATATGAGTCTGTCTGGTCTGAGGGGCTGGAATATCTGTCCACTGTTTCAAGGTAATATCACGTTATTGATAAATATTTTCAATATTAGCTTATTTATTACGCCGAAATCTGGTTAGCCGAAAACTGCAGGACAAAGAGGCGACCCTATATTTATTTGTCATCCAAAATGTATTCATGTAGATTATTTACTAGATCTGGAAACATTTAATTGCTTAGATAAAAAAAAAGCATATTTATATGTGTTTCGTTTGACCTGCTTGTGTCACCCGAAGTACTAGTGTTGTCGACCTATTCCTGAACACTTCATTTAACACTCCGTAAGAAGTTTCTGCAAGCAACTAGTACTTGTCTATGCCGTTGGTTTCTACTTTGATGTGTTCAATTCGAAATTTCTTAATCACGAGTATTTGCTAATTAACCTCGTATCTACCAACAATAGTAGAAATAATTTTCCAATAACCCAGCATAATTAGTTCAAGGACTGAATTATTTATCCACTTTTGTCAGACATGTGAAAACAGGTAACATATGTTATTGTGCCCATTCAACCATGCTGTTTGAACTGTCTGTACCAGCATAGGGATCAACATGTTTACGTTGAACGTACCATTAAATGTTATCAACATCATGTCACAGTTCTATGATTAAAGCGCCGCAGGAATTGGGGCGGTAAATATATTGACAAAGCTATTTTAAAGTGGTCTTATTAAGTATATGCACATGTCTGAAAAAACCCTGACTTTGTTAAGGATGATAAAGATATTGACAATGCTGTACTACAGCTTTGTATTTACAGTTGTGGTAATGCTCAACGCATCAAAAACTTCGTGGCCACGCATGTACTTATTGTGCAGAGAAATGAATGGTTAATATTACCGATTGAAAATTAAAGGAAATCTCGAGTAGTTATAAATAAATAGGGATCACGTGAATGTTAGAATTGATCGGTGATTACTAAAGACATTTTCAATTTGAAAATTTTCGACGTAACACTAGACCCTGCTTTAATTAGTCTGGTCGTGTATATTCACACATCGGATAATGGCGTGTGTTGTGTCTAGGGCAACAGAAATTACCTGTAAAGCAGTATATACGGGAGGGGTCCTGATCCGTACTTACTAGGTTGCCTTTGTAACAAACGTGCTTCAGATTTACCTGGGTGTATATCTTTGTTTACAAAACGATAGAAAAATAAGAATAATACAGAAGTAATGAAATTAAAATTTCCTTTGTGACGGTATGAGAGTTTAGATGATTCATTGCCGAGACAAAAAGAGACGCCCGTTTAATGTTTACATGTGTGGCATTTTTGTGAACAAAACACTTTAAATTACGAGTTGATATAAATATTCAGTCTGTATCTGACCGATTCACCTGTCTAACCTATAAACTTATGTCTTAATTAGGGAATATGCTTAGTTATACTCTTAAATATATATTTAGAAAATGAAGAAATCCTATTCCACACTTACCTGTAAGTCATTTCTAAATTTATATCAACCTCGACACAATCGCACAGTTGCGCGACAGAACAGCACAAGGTGCATTAGCGTGTTTGGTCCAGTTTTCCTATCGTGCATACATCGTGCAGACATGCGCACATATCAGTGTATGCGTAAATGCATAATCTTTGGTCTTAAATAACTCAAAATTGATATTTGATTGGAATTGTCTATGGAATCAGAATGTGGCAAGTACAGCAATTAGATCTGGATTACATACATTTCGACCTTTGACCTTTGTTAATATTTTAAAAATTTTAAATGTCGTTATCGAATCAAGTCAAAAAGGGCCATGTTTTGACGAGTATGAAGAAAGACGCCATAGCGAAGTCATTATATGTGTTACATATCGTGGCCTAGCTAATTAATTCATTAAATGTGAAAGAAGGTTTTGTATTTTTCAATATGGAGGTGGCGTAAAAATATGGAGATATATCACGTTTAAGCAATGTCAGGACTTGTAATTTACATATTGAGAAGTGGCAATATGGTGCTGTGATTATTATCTTCGTTCTCTGCTTCCACATGTTAAATTAGTAATTTCTTAATTATGATTATTAGGCAATTAACCTCATTGCTACCTGCATTAGTATAAATAATTATTCAACATCTAATCATACTTAGTCCAAACATTAAATTATTTAAACCTTTATTTTTCAATACGGACTTGGCGTAAAAATATGGAGATATATCACGTTTAAGCAATGTCGGGACTTGTAATTTACATATTGAGAAGTGGCAATATGGTGCTGTGATTATTATCTTCGTTCTCTGCTTCCACATGTTAAATTAGTAATTTCTTAATTATGACTATTAGGCAATTAACCTCATCGCTACCTTCATTAGTATAAATAATTAATCAACAACCAACCATAATTAGTCCAAGCATTACATTATTAAAACACTTTTGTTATACATAAATAGAAGGTGAGAGATGGGATATGTCATTTGCTTGCATTCAACCATGCTGTTTAAACTGTGCCTGTATATGCATCAATATATTAACGTTAAAAGTACAAAAAAATGTTATCAACATCATGTCACAGATGTATGATTAGACCACATCAGGAATTAGGGCGAAAATACTTTGAAAAAAAACTATATCAAAGCTGTGTTATTAAGTATAAGCACTTGTATGAATGAAAGCTGATTTTGTAAAGGATGATAAAGATATTGACAATGATATGTTACAGTAATCATGTATATGTAAGTGTATGAAGTTAATCTGACTTTGTTAGGACGATAAAGATATTGACAATGCTATGTTACAGTAATCATGTATATGTAAGTGTATGAAGCTAATCTGACTTTGTTAGGACGATAAAGATATTGACAATGCTATGTTACAGTAATCAAGTATATGTAAGTGTATGAAGTGAATCTGACGCCATGGAGAAGACAGGATGGCAAAGATTTTGTACTTTCACAAGCGTGTTCTATCAACGGACTATTCACCTAACATATCCTTACTTTGTAGCACACGTACTAAACTTTATATTAAGTCTTGTATTAACTCAGAATCCTGTCGCAATTGTCATCAACCCACACCAGCGTATCATGAAGACTTAAATGTTAGGTGAATTATATTGTCTATATGATAACGTTACTTATGAAGTCTGCACGCGCACAAGTTAGATTTCTCTCTCACACTATCCTGACCTTGGCGTTAGTTGTAACATTCTACAGCTTAAGAGCTACAAACATTCCTGAGATAAAATAGTTTGATAAACAGAGAAATATACGACCGAAAAAATTACCACCAATGACGGCCTACCAAAGTAAACCTTCATGATACCAGACCAATGGCGGCCTCTAAACGTAAAACATCATGATACCAGACCAATGACGGCCTCCCAACGTAAAACATCATGATACCAGACCAGTGACTGCCTCCCAACGTAAACCGTCATGATACCAGACCAGTGACTGCCTCCAAACGTAAAACATCATGATACCAGACTAATGACGGCCTCCCGACATAAACATCATGATACCAGACCAATGACGGCCTCCCGACATAAACATCATGATACCAGACCAATGACGGCCTCCCAACGTAAAACATCATGATACCAGACCAGTGACTGCCTCCCAACGTAAACCGTCATGATACCAGACCAGTGACTGCCTCCAAACGTAAAACATCATGATACCAGACTAATGACGGCCTCCCGACATAAACATCATTATACCAGACCAATGACGGCCTCCCGACATAAACATCATGATACCAGACCAATGACGGCCTCCCAACGTAAACATCATGATGCCAGACCGATGACGGCCTCCTAACGTAAACATCATAATACCAGACCAATGACGGCCTCCCGACATAAACATCATGATACCAGACTAATGACGGCCTCCCGACATAAACATCATGATACCAGACCAATGACGGCCTCCCGACATAAACATCATGATACCAGACTAATGACGGCCTCCCGACATAAACATCATGATACCAGACCAATGACGGCCTCCCGACATAAACATCATGATACCAGACCAATGACGGCCTCCTAACGTAAACATCATGATGCCAGACCGATGACGGCCTCCTAACGTAAACCATCATGATACCAGACCAATGACGGCCTCCCGACATAAACATCATGATACCAGACCAGTGACTGCCTCCCGACATAAACTTCATGGTACCAGACCAATGACGGCCTTTCAACGTTAACCATCATGATGCCAGACCGATGACGGCCTCCGAACGTAAACCATCATGATACCAGACCAATGACTGCCTCCCAACGTAAACATCATGATACCAGACCAATGACGGCCTCCTAACGTTAACCATCATGATACCAGACCAATGACGGCCTACCAAAGTAAACCTTCATGATACCAGACCAGTGACTGCCTCCAAACGTAAAACATCATGATACCAGACTAATGACGGCCTCCCGACATAAACATCATTATACCAGACCAATGACGGCCTCCCGACATAAACATCATGATACCAGACCAATGACGGCCTCCCAACGTAAACATCATGATGCCAGACCGATGACGGCCTCCTAACGTAAACATCATAATACCAGACCAATGACGGCCTCCCGACATAAACATCATGATACCAGACTAATGACGGCCTCCCGACATAAACATCATGATACCAGACCAATGACGGCCTCCCGACATAAACATCATGATACCAGACTAATGACGGCCTCCCGACATAAACATCATGATACCAGACCAATGACGGCCTCCCGACATAAACATCATGATACCAGACCAATGACGGCCTCCTAACGTAAACATCATGATGCCAGACCGATGACGGCCTCCCGACATAAACATCATGATACCAGACCAGTGACTGCCTCCCGACATAAACTTCATGGTACCAGACCAATGACGGCCTTTCAACGTTAACCATCATGATGCCAGACCGATGACGGCCTCCGAACGTAAACCATCATGATACCAGACCAATGACTGCCTCCCAACGTAAACCATCATGATATCAGACCAATGGCGGCCTCCAAACGTAAAACATCATGATACCAGACCAATGAAGGCCTCCCA